CTACACTGTTTGAGAGGGGAAAATTATGATCTTGTTTGAAGAAAGGAATAAAGCAGATAATTATCTTGTAACGGAGGTTTAGATCTGTGAACAGGCATAAGAAATCTTCTCATTTGCATCCCAATCAGACTCCCTCACCATGACGTTGGCACGCCAAGGAAATGCAAGAATAAGCAGGTATATAACACACCTTAAATAAAAGGATGCATCCCCAAGCAAAGTTTAAATTAACCACAAGATATGATTCCTTCCTTTGGACAAAACCTGATTGCAATACAAACTCTGTTCCAACTTAATTCCACTGAACAGAAACACAAGACAACCAATTTGCTTAATGAAGAAATGGCATAAAGTTTCTTTTTCCTGCCTTTCATTTGAATACATTAATTAAAATTACTTTTCCCTTCTCATAAACGTGTTTCCTAGTCAAGCTGTAATGTAGTAAATAAACACATTTGTTCTTATTTACACATTTTCACAATACCTATTTATTACCTTTGTTTTACATGTAAAATAAACATCATGTAAGTCAGTCTACTTACCAAAGCACAAGAACGGCTCTCTTTTTTTTGGGTTGGGTTTTTTGTTTTGTTTGTTTGTTTGGGTTTTTTTTTGCCTTTACCAAATAGCAAGGACAAACCCGTGCAATAAGCTAGCACATAAAGATTTCAGGTAAATATAGTCTTGGCTACAAAGAAAAACAGCTAGCCAAGGAAAGCAGCACAAAACCAGGTGGCTTTTGTGTGAACAGTAATACAGCAATAGGCCATTGAACCTCCCTGCTTTCTTTTCTACACAGCAGTTACTAGGAGTTTTGAGTAGATTTATTAATCTACAGTAACAACTGTTTGTTTTGGTATCCTCCACCACTAAAACTGCTAAATTCCCACCTAAAATAAAAGCAGATAATAACATCTTTTTTTTACTTGTCTTTTAAAAAGCACCATATTGTCAAATACCTCACAGAGACAGGAATATGGGCCAAAGGGTAGAAGGAACTGCCTAGCACACAGCAAGACAACCTCATATGCAGACTGACGGCCTAATGCTTGCGACCGAATGTGCCTAGCCTCTGTATTTCTGCACAGCGTGAAACGATGTACAGAGATTTTAGGAAAGCTGATGTCTTTCTTTAACTGCACTTTTTTCTCTAACCTTCTCTTACCTGGCAGGATCATTTAAAGGAGGCTCAGCAAGGTAAAAATTCCTGAATTCCCCAATTCTCTCAAAGGAGCATATAACTTGCTGCCGCTTTAAATCAATTCTATGACACAAAACCAACTGTACTGTTGGTTTGCTATCCACAAGGAAAACAAAACTGGTGATAAGGTTCAAGGTCATGGAAATTCGCTGTAGCACAGCAAATCAAAATGCTCACCTGCTGGTTTCCCAGTCTTGGTCATCCTTATCTTTTTCCTCTTTGGCATCAGAATTGTGTGGATGTTTCTGCACAATCCGCATCCCACCAGCTTTCACTGAAATGAAAATTAGAGAGAGACACAACAAACCTCAGTCAAATCAGCATTAAGTGAAGAATGTTTTAAGGATGACTCTCCCCTCCCTTCCCCCCCCAATATTTTACAGAACAGTTTCATAGCAATCACAGTTTGAAAAAGGGGCCCAAAATATTAAAAAGTGGCAAGCGTGAGGAACAGCTACTTCAGGACTGCATCTGCCGTTCTCTTTCACATCATCATGCCATCTTTGCTCATCCTGAGAAGTTGCAGCTCATTTTACCACCTGCTTCCAGTACCATTTTAGAAAACTCAACTGTTTTAACTCTCCCCCACCCCTGTAAACTTGCAGCAGTCAGAAGAAATGGAGGCGATGGCTTGCATAACACTATGCAAAAGGCCACAAATGTGAATGTTAAATACTCCCATAAAACAAGAAGGGATGAAGAACCTCACCTGTCATTTCAAGTTAAAACCTACAGCTATAATAACAGCATTTATACAAGGGAGTACTTCATGAACAGTATAATAAAAAGCGAAGTTTAGGAGGACTCTTAACTTGCATTTAGAACAGAGCTTTTTGTTTTGCAAAACATAAGCATTTACCACATTTCAAATCCTTGTCAAGGTTTAGCTTTAGAAATTATCCAAATGCGAAAGCATCCCTTTGAAACGCAAAACAAGAAGCGAATGCGAATCCACTAATGTTCATCATTTATACCCTCCAAAGTGAAATATAAAATAGGAACCAAGCCAGGCCTAACACTGCAGCTGCTAAACAGAGCAACAGGCAGGCTGCTCTTGATCTGCCTTCTGTTTTAATATTGTACTTTTTTTTTTTTTTTTTTTTGCTTCAAACATTGCTATACACACTTACAGGACAGCATAAGATAAGACAATGCATCTCACTAACTAATTGGATGGGTTACATTGCCATCAGCAACCACATCAGGAAACTGCTATAGCGGTCAGGAGTCAATAAAACCACCTACAGACGCGCTGGTCTGTGTTGCACCTCGCCGTGCCGCAGTAAGGCTGTGGACAGCCTGGGCAGAGATGTCACAGCCCGAGCAAGCAGGACGCCTGAGCAGC